GAGTGTAATAATTATATGTAATGAGGTCACTTGTTCACTTGTTGCTCAGTAACTAGCATATTGATGATAGTGCTTTAAAATGTTGAGACTAGTTCTTTTTTTTTTCCCTATAATTTGAAAAGCATCTGAATTACAACAATTATCCAGTGTTGAGACTGTTATTTTCAAAGTAATTAATATTTTGATTGTTTGTTAGCGCGAAGCTCAATTGAAATAACAAAAATTTATGGTCATCTATTCATAGGGTTGATTAGAAGAACTGCTGTAATGGAATTTTCAGGCAAAGAAAACGACGTGGAAGAGTGTTTACCAGCCGGAGTGTTTGAGATACCTGGAGAGCCAGCTGTTGTTATTAACGGATTGCCTCCAAATGTTGATGACACATTTTTACCATGCCCAGTAGTTACTGATACAGAATCACATAAGAATGCTGTTTTTGGCAAATTGTTTGAGGGAAGAAAAGTTCGCAAGTTATTTGGAGATAATTATTACAATGGGAAAGTAATTAAGTTTGATGAGGAAACTGGTTGGTTTAGTGTGAAGTATGAAGATGGTGACAACGAAGATCTTGAATGGCGTGAGCTGGAAGAAATTCTTCAGCCTTTGGACATTAATATTCCATTGGAAAAAGTAGTGAAAAAGTTCATCAAGAAAAAGCACTAATCTCCTAGTTTATTTTCTGATGATACATTGTTTGTTTGTTTGTTTTGCTTTTGTTATCACATTATTTGAAAGTTGCAACTATTTCTTGTTTAAAAATGTTGATTGATGATTTCGTTATCATCTGTTATGATTTCCTTGCATCTTTATGTTGTTTTTGTTATGAGTTACGAGAGCCAATGATCTTTTAGAAACAACCGCTCTACCTCCATGTAGGGCTGTTCAAAACCGAATCGAAACCGATAAGTCGAACAGATAAAAAAGTTATTGGTTTATAGTATTGGGTTATTAGTTTAGTGATTTAAATAACGGTTTTGATTTTTTTTGTTATCGGGTTATCGGTTCTTAACGGTTTGAAGTTTTTTCTTAACGGTTTGAAGTTTTTTCTTAACGGGTTAACCGATAACCCGATACTAAATTAAATAATTATATTTATACCATTTTGTATAGAAAGTCCTCGACTTAGAGTTTGATTTCCTACCTTTATTTTTGGTTGTCTATTATTTGGTTTGTCACCTTGTTTCTAAGTGATTTTCAATGTTTTTTCTTTTGTGTCAAATCTTAACGGTTAAACCGATAACGATGAAAAATCGATAAACCAATAACCGATAAGTCAATATCTTAATGATTCTATAACGGTTTAGCATCTCCACAAATCGATAACCAATAAAACAACCCGATAAACTTTAAAACCAAACCGAATCAAACCGACCGATACGCAACCCTACCTCCATGGGTTAGGGCAAAGTATGCTTACACCTACACTATTCATATCCAACCTAGTACAAAGTGAACTTGTTAGTAAAAATTTATAATATTGATAATTGTCAATGAATTTTGCTTTCTTGCATGTGAATAACTGCAGTGTTATTTATCTTGTGACTATAATAGTATTGTTTCTCCATAAATTTTCTCTTCTTTTGGTAATGATACAATGTGATGAGGTAAAATTATGAATTTTCTTTTCATTTACTATGTGGCTTTGGTATTTCAGAGTTCTCTCAAATTTGCAAGTAAATAAAAATGATAAAGAGAATAGAATTAGAAATGTATTTTCAGCTTTAATCTCTTTTCTTTTTCTTGATTAAGAAGAAACTACTATCATTAGTTTTATTTTTTATATTTTTCACACAAATATGTAACAGATTCCAAATCTATGCATAATCTTAGTTTTTATATAAAAACAACACACAAGAAATTCTTTTCTAATCAATTAATTAACTCGCAAGGTCCAGAGGAGGAGTCAGGGTTTTCAATAAGGGGGTTCAAAATGTGTAGAAATAGATAACCAAAGGGGGTTCGACACTACTACACATACATATAAACTTTATTTTAACCATGTATAAATAATATATTTTTCATGCCCAATAATTACCGATGCAGAATCATATAAGAATATTGTTTTACCTATCAGTTTAATATAAAGTTCTTATTCTAATTAGTTGTGTAAAAATAATTGCTTGTATAGACTTACTTTTAAGTTGCTTTTAAGCATATATTATTAAGTTGAAAATCTTAACTTTTTCAGTTTTAGCTTCTCTTTTTTGTTGTTATTATAGCTTGAAATAAGTATTTGAAATAACTTTTTAACCTTAAAAGACTTTTTTTTTTCTGGTAAGAATAAAAAATAAGTTATCCATATGAACTCTTAATATTTACTTGGCCATAAATTCTTTTCATTTTCTAAAAAAAATTATCGTTGGAATTAAAGATAGAGTTGTGTTTGGTATTACTTTCTTTCAAAAAAAAAACATTTGTAACATTAGAATGTAATTAAATACAACTTTAAAAGTGATTAATGGGTTGAAAAATAGATTATTAGTTATTTTTTAAAATTAAAATACAACTTCAAGTTGGATTTATGAATACATATAGTTCTACACCTTTATGAATTTATACATATAAAAATAAGTTATGTAACTTTCAAAAGTACATCATGAATACATATAATTCTACACCTTTTTGATGACTTGTTTTAATCTAAAACAAACATAAAATTCATTTCCAAAAATAAAACCAGATGCGATAGATTCATTAGGGTTCCACTCAGTAGAGTCAAAGAAATATTTCTTGACTCTAATTCTTAATATAATGGGTTTAATGAATTTATCGAAAAAGAAATTGCATTATTGATCATATATCACATGAATTTTATCTATAATCATGTTAAATCTTCTAATATTAAAGAAAAATTTTGACTCATAAATTTTCTTCCAAAGTAGTAAATTTATTCCAAGTAATTAAGTTATACATACAAAAAGTATTTTAATCATCAATGCATATAATTTTACATGTTTTTATGAGATAATGCCCAAGTATCCCTCAACCTATGCCCGAAATCTCAGAGACACAGTTATACTATATTAAGGTCCTGTTACCCCTGAATTTATTTTATTAATAATTTTTTACCCCTTTTTAGCCTACGTGGCACTATCTTGTGTGTTTTTGGGATTTCGGACATAGATTGAGGGGCTACTTGTGCATTTTCCCTTTTTTTATCGTCTCATTTCAACGTAGAAGAGATGATATTTACTTGGAGTTGGTTAATCATGTTACGACATCAATCATTAGACGAATTTAAATCATGTATTCTCGTTATTATCTCTTTTCCTAGGACAAGTTATAATATTTGCAACTATTAGATTTGATTAATACAAATGAATTAATAAAGTATACAATCATAATACAAGTTTTATTATGTAAACACTTTATATTTAGGTTAAGTCGTCACAGATTTCACAACCCTTGATTGTGGGATTTAGCCGCTCATGATAATTGAGGTAATAAAGTATGCAATCGCATTCATTGAATAAAAATTTACTTACAGAAAATATTAAAAATTTCGGACTTACAGAAAATATCAAAAATCTATAGTTTTCTTTCAGAGATTCCATTATTTTCTACTATATGTCTATGTTTTCTTTCATAAATTCCATTATTTTCTGGAGTATTTGGAGTTTTGGACATGACAATTGTCTTGTAATTCCATAGTTTTCCAAGTGCTTAATGAATTCATTGTTGATGAACTCACCACCTCCATTACATTGAAAGGTTTTAAATTATCTTCAAAAGTATTTTCTGAAACTTATACAAAAATATCAAAAATCTCAGACTTTTTTATTGGATACAACCAGGTGTATCTAGTGTTATCATCGTCCATCGATAAACAATACATAGTACTTCATGTGTTAAGAAGATTCAATAGAGGTTGTAACCCAAAGATCACAATGAATTTTTAATAATGGTTCCTTCTCAATCAAATTCATCAAACTCAAGGGTGCAACAATTATCTTTTGCTAGCTTGATAACAGATATAATTTTTTTAATTAATATCAGGTTCTACTAGTATCTCGTTAATCTTCAGACCTGACCTAATTGTATTCCCAACACGTGTAATGTTTAAACGACATCTATTATCAACAATTATCTTATCAGCTTGATTGTAAGTCTTAAGATCAGATAAGTTACCTTTGTTTTTAGTCAGGTGGTTGGTTGCTCCATAGTCAACATAAATAGCATTGTCCTCAACATGTGTATCTTGAAAATTGACTATTGCTAAGGCTCTATTCTGATTGTAATTATAGCTATCTACCTCTTACCTCTTGTGTAGAGAGAGTCATGTTATGATTCTCCTATGGCACTTTCTCATCATCTTCTCTCATGTCAAAGTCTCCAAGAGCATTGACAAACTAGTTGAGTGTGGGATATGGTGCCTTTCCAAGCTTAACTATCCTGAAGGTCCTATATTTTAGGCCTAGACCTCGAGCAAAGTTGATTATTTTGCTACCCTTATCGACAGGTTTCTGAATGGCTACAAGGACATCGCATATTCCTTTGAACTCTTTTAAATACTCATCAAGTTTTTGGCTCCCAACTTGATGTTTTGGAGTTGTTGTTTGAGTTGAATCCTTGTTTATATTTGCTTGAAGATATATTTCTTCTAGGCATTCCCGCATCTCTTGATCTATCGAACAATCTGTTGGGTTTTATTTGCCCTAAATTTCTTATCATAAATAGGTTTTCCTTGTAGGAAAAGGTTTTGGATTGACTAATCCTTTTCTTGTAGGAATAGGTTTAGGACTCTATAAATAGAGGCATGTTCCTTCTAACTTAATTAACATTCACAATGTAATCTTAAGGGCTTTGAGAGTTTTGGTTAGGGGGAGAATTTATGGGTCACAAGCTTGATACGTTATCGCTTGTGCGAACCTCCCATGTATTCCGAGTGAATTGGTTGAGGTTGTTTCCCTCTATATTTTGTACTCTCATATTTATAGTGGATTGCTCATCTCCTTTGTGGACGTAGGTCGATTGACCGAACCACGTTAAATCTTTGTGTCTTTTGGTATATTTCTCGTTGTCGTTGTCTTTCGAGGTTTGCTTTACTATCTTTCCGCGTTTACACCTGCTTAATTTCGGTCCTAACACAATCGACAGTGAGATACATGCTCTGCTCAGTCATATTTCCTCAACAACATATTTTTCTCTTCCCAAAGAGTCTTCAAATCTTCTTCTCCTTGCGTTCAATAATTTTTCCCTTCTTGTGGTACTTGATCGTCTATCTCCTTTTATCAAGTTGGTTACTTTCATGACCTGCATAAGCTGAATTCTCCAAATCAAGTACTTAGTAGGCTTAATCTTGACTGGACAAGCAACAATAAGATGGATGCGTAGACGAAGTTGACAAGGACATGAAAGTTGTGTTTGAGGCTATTGTTACAAGATTTTTGTGGTTTTTTTTTACTGCCCTAATACCATGTAGAAAGCACAGTACATAAAGGAAAAGAAGAGCTAAATATTATTGATATATTTTGTATATAAAATTACTGCACAATACCTCCTTATATATGTTGTTGGCAAGTTACAATATATGGGAGTTATACTTGAATTCTACTACTCTTACTAGTAATACATAACAACACTTACACTCCTAATGTAATGTATACTCCTAATGCCAACATGATTCTGCTTTTTTTTACGCTAGTCTCCAACAGGGCTCCATTATATAACAAAAATTTGGTCATCTATTAATAGGGTTGATTAGAAGGTCTAGTGGAAATGAATTTTTCATGTAAAGAATTAAATGTGGACAAGTCTTTAAAACGTGGAGTGTTAGAGATACCTGGAGAGCCAACTATAGTTATTAATGAGTTGTTAACCATGTTTTCAAATGCTGACATCTTTTTGCCCTGTCTCATAGTTACCAAAGCACAATCACATAAAAATATTGATTTTGGTCGATGGTTCGAAGTAAAAAAGTTCACAAGTTATATTAGACAGGTATTACAATGAAAAATTACTAAAATTTGATGAGGAAACTAGTTGGTTTAGGGTGAAGTATAAGATGGCGACATCGAAGATCTTGAGTGGCATTAGTTGAAAGAATTTATTCTTTCACAACCCAAAATGGGCGTGGTGACACTTGTATGTTTCCACCAAGATAAGTCAGCCTCAAACACAACGATAAACGAAAAGAATGCGAAAAATAATAGAGCATGAACAAGACAAAGGTGAAAAACTTATTCATTCTAAACAATACCCCAAAAATTGGATGGTCACGTGTATAAGACATTAAATACATAAAGTACGAAATTAAAAAGTAAGTAAAAGTCTCAATTTTTGTTTCTTGATTAGAGAAAAAACTTAAAAGAAAAATAAAAAAGGGCCCCGAGAAGGACAAGCAGCTACCTCTCAAGTCTTTTAACAAGTCCAAAAAAAGTGATCACGCTATATTGGGCTCAGTATCTACACAAGTGGTAGAAGTTAGGTTTTAGTACCAAAAACACGATATCTAGTAAGCAACCTAATAAACAAGGAAACCTAGGTACAATTCGACTACTCCATATATCTTAACTAAATCTCCTCAAACTACTATCTGCACAGAAAATAGCCCAACCTAACAGTTCTATAAAAAACCGGCTCAATATACATAATCCAAAGTCACAAGTCAACAGCCAACATGTATCACGTAAATCAAGCTCAATGTGAAGTAGGTCGATCACAGGAAACTAGTACATCAATCACAAGTAACAAGTAAGTCACACACAAACATATAAATGCATCAAATCACAAGAATCAATCTCGTGCCAAAATTATTTCCCATCCGCATACTATCACTATCCAAAACTAGTTCCCATCGACTTTATATCAAATCACTAGCCGAAATCATTTTCCATTGGATTAATATCAAATCACTAGCTGGAACTATTTCTCATTGATTTTATAGTAATCACTAGTCATAATAATTTTCCGTTGACTTAATATAAATCGTCGGTAAAGACCTCGACATCATAACAATCTCATGTTTCATCACAATGTTCAACAATTAACGCATTCAAGCTATATCATACTATCCGAAGAAACAACAAGTCATCCACATTCAAGCCATCAAGACATTTTATCACATCAATCAAACAGGATCATAACAATTAGCAATTACATATTGTTGTTATCATCAGGAAGCTTTTTCATTTATCCCTTCATTATTTATTAACATTAATCAAGCTGAGCAATAAGAACCTTCACTTGAACCCAGATTACTCCCTAACACACATACAATGAAGAGAAATAGATCATTCTACTAGATTACAAAACTTAACATCATTTGCCTCAAATCAACCAAATATCAACCCAAGACTTGAGTTTTTTGCTTTCGAATCAATTCCAAAGTCACACAATCAATAACAATCAAGTATTCACAATCACTCATCAAAGACAACCAATTCACACACCAATTATATAAGGAAATGGGTCAATCAACTCAAAACTCAATTTCAAAATGGAGGTTAAAATTCAGAAAACAGTACTTGAAAATAATGTTTTTAAGGGTATAGGAACTCATTAGTGAAAATCATTTCGAAAAGGAGATCAAAACCACTTCACAATCACTATTTTAAATCAAAACTCAAGTTCTTACAAACCTTGTCATTTTTCAAATCCCAAATTATGATGTTAGATTATACAGTTTTATGATTATAAAAGCCTACTCAGACGATTTAGCACAAGACCTCCAAGAATTCCCCAAGCTCATAAATGAAAAATGGGGCATAAACCTAAAAAATGGCAAACAAACATCCTCCCAGATGTCGCTTAAGTGACCAGGGGTTCGCTTAGCTAAAAGCTCAGATCTCACTTAATCAATTTGACCTTCATTAATGCAGAGGTAGCTTAAACAGAGGTTCTTCGCAAAATCAAAGGTCTACAGGGGTTGACTCTTCACAAAAGCGGTTCAAACCTCGCTAAAGAGAGCGAGCCATCTCTAGCTAAAGCGGAGTGAACCAGAACAGAGACATCAAAAGATCAGCTAATACTCTAAAACTCGAGAGCACCTTCAAAATTCATTCGGAACCCCATACACAGATCAATTATGCTCAACGTTCCGAACTCAATAGAAACGTCAAAATGAAAATCTAAGGTCTCCTTGGTCGGACATATGTGAAAATCATAAGAAACTAGCTCACGCCTAAAAGGCTAAAACAAGCTCGAGACTTCTAAAAAATCAATCAAGGCCTAAAATTATCCCCCGAATCTAATGGAATTCTCATAATTTCGATCTGAGTATTCGAACCCTGAATAGTGACTAAAGTCAATTCAAAGGCTAAATTTTCACCATTTAACAATTTAGGACCTCAAATCCTTAAAAAAAGACTCAGAATCTGAAACAAACAACTTTAAAGGGCAAAATTTTACATTCCGAAAAATTCCAAAAGGCACCAAAAATCACTTTCTTAATAACATAGCCTTCCAAACTCAAAACTTACTAAATTCTCAACTTTTAACTCAAAGTTTAAAAGTAATTTTTCAAACTCAAACATAAAAGACTCGGGATCGATTTCGAAAAGATAAACAAATAATAAATTTATAAAACTTTTCAAAAATTACCTACTAGTCATACCATCTTCAGGCTTTGGCCATTAATACTCCATTAGAAAAAGTTGTCACAAAGATCATTAAGAAAAAAATAGAGATTTTTTCAGAAATTCGAGAGTAGAAGTTGAGATTAAGGTGTAAAAATGACAAAGATATGATAAATAAAATTATCGTATTTATATAAACTCGAAGCATGTCATACACTAATAAAAAAGTGAATATCGATCTAAAGAGAAGTCGGTAATTTCTGACCTCCGGAGGTCGATATTGTTAAGAGAATATTTTTTTTAAAAAAAAAAGAAATAGAAAACCAACTACAAGGAGTGGGTTTTATGCAAAATAAAGCGGAAAACCAAATACCGACCCGTGGAGGTCAAATTTCTACCCGTAAAAATAAATTACAACAAAAACTGGCCTCTTGATGCCGATATTAAATAAATCAACAAGTAACAATATTTATTTTTTCTCAATTAAATTAGAAAAAAAAAACAAAATTGAGAAATATTTTGAATCAACTTCATTTAAATCGTCTTCCGGATGACAATTTTATGTAAAATAAAAAAACTATAAAATCAGTAACATTAAATAGTATGTAATTAAAATATTTATATAGTGACTTCCAGAAAATTAATAAATAAAATATTTTCAATTAACTTTTAATAAATCTCCTTCGGATGAAGGCTTTATATAAGTTTAAAAATAAATTAATATAAAATATCGTCTTTCCGATGTCAGTATCATATAATTAACATGATTAATTTTTTATTTATCTTAAAATCTAATGTGATACCGACCTCATGAGGACATCCGGAGGTCAATTTATTTAATATATTACTATTAATCATAATTTTGCTATTGTGCATAATACTAAATTTTCATTTTACACCTACAATTAATTGTTTTAAAAAGCACAATAATTTTGTATACTTTTATAAATAAAAAGTTAGAGTTCATGGAATAAAACAAAAAAAGAACATCAATAATTTATATTTAGAGTATGAAACTACGTGATATGAATTAGACGATAATTATACTTATATTTCTAGTGTAATGTACTTCATTAGTCCGTCGTCAAAGAACTTAATATCTCATGTAATGCTGTAGAGGTGAAAACTAACAGATAACCATCCGAGTGTGAAATGCGAGATGATAGAAATCATGTCATGATAACAATTAATTAAATTTTATATTTATAATTAGTTGTTTGGTTATTTGTGCATATAACCTTCAATATCTTATCTCGTTTTATGAAACAGTCAATAGAACATCGTAAAGTACTTTACAAAACAAGTTCTATCAAGATTTTTACATTCGATCTTGAGTGAATGTCAAGTGTAGTAATCATACCGTAGGCACTGACATGTAAAAATAATCATTGGAGAATGAAATATATAGTAGTTTAACAAATCAAGTCTTATATATTCATGTTTGAGATATGAAATATATTATCAATTAAAGAAATACCGTTAATCAATTTGAGTAGATTTATATATTGAATTTGGTATTAATAAACTTCTATATATCACTAAAATTAAATTTATATAATTAGGAGGTGTGTGTGTATATAATATATATATATATATATATATATATATATATATATATATTATTACCTCCTAATTTTGATTGACGTATTCGATTGAATATGTATTTATAAAATATAATATGTGTTTGAAAATCTTAATCGATTTTATCTAAAATTATATATTATAGTATCGTTAATTTAAAATTATCTATTATTATTATTATTAAATTATTGTATTTTATCAATAGTTAAACTCGAAATAACTATTTTATTTATATTTTTAAATTTAGGTTTATTTAATTTATATGAAAATACTTTAATATATATAGTATTTTATTAATTGAATATTTCCTTTATCTCAATTTGTTTAATTAATTCTATTTCCTATTCCGTTCTATTTCAACTTTAGCCTTTCATACTCAATTTCATGTCAATTATAGCCATTGCTTATTTTAATTATAGCCTTTCAATAATTTTCATTTATAGCCTATCTGATTCAATTCAATTTTAAAAGCTCCATCCTTTAATCTCAGTCATTGGTTCATCCAAATCTACAAGATCAAATCTTGATCGTCTATATCATTCAAACCAACGGCTGAGATCAAATCTTCATCTTCCTCTCATCTCCTCCTCCCCTACCTCTCCCTCTCCTCTATTCTCCTGGCAGCGAACGGCGCAGGCCAGCGAGCAGCCGCGAAAACCAGCCGGAAAACGGGCGAGGACCAGATCTGACAGGCGAGCCTCTTTCTCTCTTCTCCTCCGCTCCAGTGAGGACGACAACAACAAACAGCAGCTCCAGCTGCTCTGACCAGCGAGCAGCGAGCGGCAAGCAGACAACTCCGGCGAAGGAAAGGTAATCACCGGCGAACCTCATTGAAGCCGACAACAACAACAGAGAGATCCTCGCATCTCCATTCCTCTCCTCTTCGGCGAAGTTCTAGTAATTCAGGTATTTGATTAATCATCATACATACATACATAACAGTACTTATAATAAAGATAAATTGTATTCTAATATTGGAATTCTAAAACTATTCAAATTTATTTAAGCTCTAGTTATATGAGACTGACAAAACTAGATAATCAAACTTGGGATGGAAGGAGAAACAATGTCCCTGAATTTAGATTTATTAGGAGTCTAGACTCTCTAGAGAAAAATTAACTCTTGACTCACTTTAGCCTTTATCTCAATATGAAACGGACACTCTGAAACAATAGAGTTCATTCCAACAATCTTTGTATGGAAACAAGAAGACATACTGATTCCCAAGTAATTTGCGACATTCATCAGTTATACAAACACAACACTGGATAAAACAAACAAGAAGCCTCAGAATTAACAAGTGGAGCTTAGGTATAAATAGCCATGTCCTATTGGAGACCATTCAAGTCAACAAGGAAGAAGCAAAAACATTCAGTCACTCCTGCCAATGTTATGTATGCACATGTGAAAATAGAAAGGCTGCATGAAGTAGTAACATCAAGTCAAACCTTTTTACCTTTGAAGTATGGAAACCGCTAACATGCGCACATAGATAAGGCCTCAACTTCTGACCTGCTCAAGCACACAACATTTCAGTAACTAATTTCAGCATGCTCCCATGAAAAGGAGACCTTTGATCAATAAGACAGTGTTAGTTATCTATAATGTGTTTAAATTTCTAAAGTTCAAGTACAATTATTTTCTATAATGTGTTTGTGTCCATCTAGTATTGATACTTAGCTTTAATTTTGTACTTATTTGTTTGTGTTCATCGAGGGTTGGCTTAGCGTTAAATTAGGTGATAATGTATTTGTTTAACATAAGTACCAACACTTGTTGATCCTATTGATGACAAAATTGATTTTCTTGCAAGATCAATTTGTGTCCATTTAGTGCTGATTCTAAGCTTTAAATTTAGAAATAATATATTTGTTAAGCATAAGTGCCAACACTAGTTGATCCTATTGATGACAAAATTGGTTTTCTTGCAAGATCGATTTGTGTCCATCTAGTATTGATACTAAGCTTTAATTTCTTAATAATGTGTTTGTTAAGCATAAGTACCAACATTAGTTGATAGTTGATCCTATTGATGACAAAATTGATTTTCTTGCAAGATCAATTTGTGCTCATCTAGTGTTGATATTAAGCTTTAATTTCGAAATAACGTGTATGTTAAACATAAGTCTCCAACACTAGTTGATCCTATTGATGACAAAATTGATTTTCTTGCAAGATCAATTTGTGTCCATCTCGTGTTGAACATGTAAAGAGGAGAAACATAGGTGTTTCTATAAGGAGGTGTGAGAAGTTGTCAATGGTGGGCGTAAAGAGAGGTAGGCCAAAGAAGTACCAAGGGAGGGTGATTAGACAAGACACACGGCATTTTTAGCTTAGTGAGGACATGAACTAAAACATAAGGATTCAAAGGTCACCAATTAGAGTAGAAGGTTAGTTGGTAGTTGAGCGTTCTCTCACTTTCCTGCAGAGCAGAATAGGTTGTTGTATTACATACTCTCTTACCAATTGTATTAACACTATTCACGTAGTTTCTTGTTTGTCGATTGTAGTTACCATCTGTGTTTCCTATGCTTTGCTTATCGCACTAGTTTGTTGTTGTTAATGCTCTTCTGTTCTGTATGCTATGCATTTCTTTCCGTAGCGATCCATTTTTTTGTTGTTACTACTTCTTTCATTTTCATTTTCTCTTTCTCAAACTGCATTGAGGTGTTTTACTTGAGTTGGGGATCTATCAAAAACAACTTCTCTACCTCTACGAGGTAGGGGTTAAGTCTGCGTTCTCTACCCTCTCCTAAACTCACTTGTGGGATTACACTGGGTATGTTGTTTGTTGTAGTTTTGATAACAATAATTCCAACGGCAAGCTGGATGATCACCTAGTTGATACTTCGGGTCATTGATAGTAAGTATTGTACATTTGGATTGATTCTGAGAAGGAAACAAATCTACCACATTTAATATGTCTGAAAGAATGGAAAAGAAAGGAACAAAAAGAGGAGAGACTTTAGTTTTGCATAGTCATTTGTTTTCATTAAATATTTCATCATTAGCCAGAACATACTGTTGGACATCACTCTGTGACAGATTGCTTGGTATCAGGTTTTGCATGCTGCATGTCAACTTCTATTAATGAATGTTGAAATATATCCAGGAAACTAGGAGTGATCACGATGGGACTTCTCAGCATTATCCGGAAGATCAAGCGAAAAGAAAAGGAGATGCGCATCCTTATGGTGTAAGTCTACAAGCTAACCTGTAACATGTGGCATGGGGGAGTTTTTTTAATACATAGTGTATTTATTTAGTAGTTATTTAATTCTGTTTATTATATAGGGGTCTTGACAACTCTGGTAAGACAACAATAGTGTTAAAAATAAATGGTGAAGACACAAGCGTCATCAGTCCAACTCTTGGCTTCAACATCAAAACCATTACGTATCAGAAGTATGGCTTCTCTGCTTTCTTTCTGTTTTTTTTTCCTCTGATCTGCATTCAGTTATCCTGCTTCAATAATGTTTTGATTCCTATTTATAGTTGTTACTCATTTAACTGTAACCTACATGTCCAAGATGTACTTTGTCAGGCAATATTTATGTGATTAGTTGAATCATTTAGATTATTTTATTCCCTAAAACTAGAATTGTTTCGTTTAAACATACTCTTGATTCTTACCTTTTGAATTTTTTTTGAGGGCCTTGGTTTGCTGTTAATTAATCAACTATATTTTTATCCTGAAACAGTTGGGATCAGCTATATGAATCCTCTGTGTACTCATTGATAGCCTATTTTGTTTACATTACATCAACCTACCACACCCTCTCTTTTTATTCAAGCTCGGACATGACTATATTTTGCATAGCAGGTAGAGTTCGGTTTTATGCTGCCAGAGACATAAACTTTTTGGGACTTCATTTAAGTCCAGAGTCCAATTTAAAGCTCATTCTGCAGAGAATCAAAAGATACAACGCCAAAACTGTAATTCAAAATTCATTTCTCTAAAATCATTGCATGTGAGACAACAAAAGAACTTGGGAAAAGCTTAAAAAAGACTACTAAGGGAAAGTGATTGAGTAAGACAAATACAGATTTATAATTTGAAAAGAGATTTTGAATCTCTTAGGATGAAAGAGAAAGAGAATGAGACTATTACTTAGTGTAATAACAAGATTTTTTTCTTAATCGTTAATAGAATCAGGTTGCTTGGCAAGGATTTCAAAGATGACAGAATAGTTGAAAAATTTCTGGTGATAGTTTCAGAGATATTCGAATTTAAATCTCCCATCTAGAAGAGTCTAAAAATCAATCTATTCTCTCTGTTGAACTACTGATTTTGTTAAAGAATTAATAAGTGTTCTTCAAGCACAAAAGCAAAGAAGAGCCATTATAATTTATATAAGACAATGCAACTGTGTCTGCAGAATTTTGCACATTTTCTGTTTTCTAATCGACTACTTAACTCTCTATACTTAATAAAACTTCAGAGACAATTTCAATCAGTTCTAATATTTTTTTTGCTGCTCCATCCTTTTAAAACACAACAGAAACAAAGTTATGTCAATATGTATGTCTTTGGAATACCCTTCGGGGTGGCCCAGTTGTTTGGGCTTGGGACTTCCATGTTGGAGGTCTCAAGTTCGAAACCCTTGCCAGCGAAAGCAAGGGACAAACGAGCTGGTCGCACCAGGCTTGCCTGGTGCGGGTTACCTCTCCTATGTGGTTTGCAAGCTATTGCATAGGAGCGGAGTTTTTACCCTGTGCGCACCCAAAGGGTAGCGGCCACGGGTTTCCCTTGTCATAATTTTTTTTTATGTCTTTTGAAATTACTATCTGGTGTGTTTAAATCATTTTAGTAGTTTTAATTCCTTCTAACTGATTCTTGTTAGAAATGAGATTCTTTTGCTGAAATTTCAAAATAGCTGATTTCAAGTTAACCTGACATGCTGCAGGTATACCCTCAATATATGGGATGTTGGGGGGCAGAAAACAATACGGTCTTATTGGAGAAACTACTTTGAGCAAACTGATGGCTTGGTGTGGGTTGTGGATAGTTCTGATCTGAGAAGGCTAGATGACTGCAGATATGAGCTACATAATCTTCTGAAGGAGGAGGTATAAGTCATATTGGTTCTCTTTTCTGTTGTTGAACCTCATCTATTCCCTTGTGCAAAAACTCCAAAAACATATGGATTTTTAGGGTGGTATACTGATCCAACTCCCCCTTTTTCTCTTCTACTAACTACTGTCGTACGAGTGTATCCAGTGGTTGGAGTCCTTCATAAGTTGTGCCAAGTTAAGGGTACAACTTGTTTGAACTTTTCTTGCTTCTATATAGTTGCATTTTCATTTTTAAGACATGTAGATTTATGATTTTGGTTCTTACGATGTTTATAGGCAGCAAACTATTGAATTTGCACTTCTCCGTTGGTTTTTTAACCTAGTGAGATATTTTGATTCCCGATTTGTTTTACATTGCATCTTGTTTTAGGAGACAGATGCTCTTGCTTCTTTATGTATTAGTGGATGGAGTTCTTTTTTATAAGGGCGATGCTGACGTGATAAGTATCATTCAGGAAGACGTGTGTCCCCACCTTATTAAAAAAACAACTACATCCCCTAATACATGAAGAAGCCAGAGCATGTGTTCCCTAAAACAAGATGTTGAATTTATTTCATATCTGATACTGTAATACATAGGGGATGGAGTTGTTGGAACTACTTGTTCCTATTTAGCATTGTCTTAAAAGGTCTCTCCCAAATGCATCACTGACTCTAACAACCGACAATTGAGCCGTGTACAATCTACACCTTGCATGCTTTGGTTTGGTGTTACCTGCTCTATACTATTTTAAGTGCAAGATAACGGTCAAGAAACTAGGGAATAAGTTTCAGTTATGGCACAGATGCGTGCATACTTTTTCTACTGTATACCTATGCTTCTCCCTCCATTTTAGTTTGTGTGGCATAGTTTGACTGGTCAAGGAGGTCAAAAAAGAGAGAAAAACTTTTGAAACATATGGTCTAATCCTGTCATGGCATTTCTGTGTTTATAAGACTTTTGAAACATGTGTGGCTATAAAAGCTTGTCATTAAGGGTTGGGAAGTTTAAGTTGAATTGTTTCCAAATTGAGAAAGTTTTCAAGGAAATATTGCCATGTAAATTGGAACGGAGGGAGTATTTCCAGTGATCTAAATGCAAAATAGTGAGTCAGAAGCAAGGGGATGAGTTTTCAGTAAATTCACATGTCAAAGCGCATCCAATCTCAGACTTCGTCGTGGAAATGCTGCCAGCTTCTGCTTATTATGACACTTGTTTGAATATTTTGTTATGTTTAAGTTAATTAGTGTTTGCAATCATTTACATGTCATTTTCTGGCGACATTTCTTTTGCTTCTTTGCTGCATTTTCCTCTACAGTGGAGGCTTTAAGTAACGAATGCTATAATTTTGTTTGATGCAAGTTGCACCACATGTTATAGCTTCCTTCCACTCTCAGCCAAAATCATCATACTATTGATAATCTCAATTAAGGATTTTTTTCTGGAAACTTATTTGTGTGGCTATGAAAATAATAAATTGTTCACAGAACCTATTCAGTGATTTTCTAACAGAACTGCCTATGCACATTTACTAGCTCTATTCCATCTTGTTACATGTTTCATAATGTTGTGCCAAAAGAATTTTACAAGATAGTTGCCTAACCGTCCATCCTTACATCATCATGTTAATAAGTGCACAATAGAGGCATAACCTTGCTGTTGATCTTTGTTGGATTTGCTGAATGTGTTCATTAGGCACTTCAAAAAGTCTTCTTTTGTGTATCTGTAACAGCCTACGTGTCCCAAAAAAGAACGTGCAAATCCCTTTTCATTAGATGAGAATAGGATGACAGATCTTTCTGTCATTAAAATTTATTGAAGGTGCATAGCTTCTTTGAATGTCCTATGGATTGTCTATATCATCTAGGGACATGACTCATCCCAAAATAGAGGTCTTTCTTTATTGTTATAAAATCCATTTGATTGAAAAGAAAGTGTATGATGCCATAAGTAAAATCGGCGGGTGAGGCGTGACTCCTTCACTGCACTCAAGGTAGAGAGTAACATATCCTATACATTAGTAAGCTCATACTCCATTATAAGTAAGTGTTGGTTGGCTTAGTCATGAAAGAACTTCCACATGTGCATCAGGGCCCTCTCATTAATAACATCTCTTTTTGATTGACCTCCTCCTTTCTTTAATTAGCAGGCACAAATGTCGAATTTCGTTATTGAATGAATCCATTGTTGTTGTCATTTTAGTTAGTTTATCACATTATTTCCGTTTTCTTTTTGTTCTTTACATGTTATTCAATCTCTTCAAGCACTTCAGTAAGTGATGCCAGGAGTACTCTCTTTTTTTTCATTTTTATTCATTCAATACCAGGAGTACTCTGCAACTTGATTATTGCAGAAAATATTCTCTCTGATTATTCTTCATAAAGGTAACAGTTCATTTCTGGTGAGGCTTGGTATGACCGGTAACAATGTAGAGCAACAAAGAGGGAATCTACAATGTCAATCATTGAAAATGATTTTCACTTAGTGCTATATGTTCCGTGCAGAGGCTATCAGGAGCATCATTATTGATTTTTGCAAATAAGCAGGACATACAAGGTGCTCTTTCTCCGGATGAAATAGCCAAAGTAAGGATGCTTCTTGTTATACCTTAAACTGTGTCGAATGAATATTGAAGTGAGGTTCTTACACTTGGAACTAGTAAGGTTGCAATCTATGATACCCTTAACAATTATGTCGAAGGTTTAGCATGAACTGTTGTTTAGTTCAAAAATCTGAAGATCCAATTATGTAAACCAAAAAACTGAGAGATCAGGAGAGAAGCTTCTTTCTAGTGGTGGTTGAGAAAGTACTAGGCATAATACATCAATTCGCCCTTTAACTTAGCTTTAGCTGGCATGTACGCCCTCCAACTTTGGGTATGCACAAGTAAACACTTAAATTTGTATACAATTGAACAAATCGACACACGCGTCTTAAATCACATAATATACGTTAGGATACCACGTAGGACACAATTGTCATGTTGTAGGATGCATTGTCTATTTGTTCAACTTTATACAAGTTGAAATATCTACTTGTGCACATCCAAAGTTGGAGGGCATAGTTGTCAAGTAAGGGCAAGTTAATGGACATGCTCATGTATTATGCCAAAGTATTATGTAGTAGTTTCCAAGTTACTTCAATTGACTAGTACCCTATTTCTACATAGATCTGCTTCTTTTATGTATGGTCAATTATTCATAAAAACTTGACATTCACAGAGAGAGGGGACATTAACTTTTTTCTTCTGATTAAGGTGCTTAATCTGGAGGCTATGGACAACAGCAGGCACTGGCGAATCGTGGGATGTAGTGCATACACAGGAGACGGGCTACTTGAGGGATTTGATTGGCTGGTACAAGACGTTGCATCGCGAATCTATATGCTTGATTAAGTGAAAATTTTACATTAAGATTTTGATTCCTGCAAGATGACATTGTTAAGATCTTTTGGATATACAACATTTGTGCATGTAAAGATAAAAGAAAATCATGCAAGTGGAATTTTATTAGCTACTGCTCAAAATGACCATTTGTGAGGAAATTCTTTTAAGTCATTTCCCAATATGCCAGTCTTTTGTTGTAATTACAGCAGGTTGCACAAAAAAGTAACTGTCCTTCACCAAATAAATTTTTCATAAATTAATAATTTTTATAATATATTAGGATTGTACTTGCTATGTACTTAGGGGTCTCGTTTGTTAACGGAATTAAGTGGAATTAACAGTCATGCACCACGACCTATAGAATCAAGAAAGAGCTCTCAATCCTTACTATGCCCGTGTTGAGTCTAATTAAGACGCAGCCTCCATCCTAGTGGTGCCCTTCTGTCAATTCCTTTAAGTTTCAGCCTAACGACTATATCCTTCATTAGATAAAAGAGAAAAGTACAACATCTCAAAAAGAAAGAACAATTATCGTGACAATCACTAAAGAAAGTTCTTATAATCCTTAATCAATACAATTTATTGATGTAATGCCACTCCAGCGTCCAATTTAATATACACAAAGTAAATGTGGAAAATGAAATAATAGGAAACGCTCAAAGGGTACAGAAATGCAAATAATCTGAAAAGAATAAATGAAAAAAAAAAGAAAAAGATATTATGGAGCTATAACTATGAACGTTTACTAGTTTAGCTAACTGAAAGTGTTGCTTATCACGCGTGCAGAGTCACTTGCATCACATATTAATACAGCCGGTCCTTGGTTAAGATGACTAGCCAACTCGGGCTGGAGCTTACTGTACTCGTCCACGACAAAAGTTGCAGCTTCTTCTGCTTTATCTGCTTCTACAAATGCAATACAGCAGCCTCGAAATCCTGCACCACTGAACCGTGTCCCAAGTACACCAGGAGCCTTCAGAAGAACCTGATATAGCTGTATAAGTGGTTCACAACCTAAAATAATTGAAGTTCAGTTCAAGATTTGGTTATTCTTTGTGTCTCAGACAGACATACATTATCGAGAAGGTTGTGTATCGAAAACAATGAAATTAAGATATCAAGCAAGAAAATTAACACTTACCACACTCATAGTTTTGAATAGAACTTAGACCAGATGCTGTAATAAGCTCTCCGAATTCTCTAAGGTTTCCTGAAGCCCAAGCCTCAATTCCTAAAACAGACCACACATGAGTTATGAATGGACTGTCCCTAAAGCTAATCATAAAAATTAAAAGGAGTAAAGGTCTGTAAAGAATGATACCTTTCATAACTCTCTCATTTTCGGAGAAATAATGCTCTGCTCGTTTAGCTAGGTTGGGTTCTAATATGCTCTGAAAAGAAAATTCCAGAAATATGGTATAAATACAATCAATACATATAAATGCGAAGAAGATTTTCACATATAGATGTCGCAAACGACCTTTGTATAATGATGGTTGAGTAATTAAACATCCAATATATACTTGTGGATTTTTACCTTGTGGGCTTCAAAAACTTCTGGTTTAACTGCATAAACAATAGATTTGTTATCAACATCATCATTAAAGCTGCATCACTATTTCAATGACAAACGCAGGCCGAGAACCCTACCATTTGATAGAATAGGTTCCATCTCTTCATCCCCCGAAGCTCTAGAAGGTCAAAGTTAGAGTCAGAAGAAGAAAAAAAATACCCGTAAGTCCCGGAAATGAGAGCTGTAATATAAATCAATTAGATCTCATCAAAACTTCATCATACTTATATTGCATTCCAAAAAAATCAACAAGATTTTATTAGTCTATAGAATGCTTCACACTTTCAGAAAAGGCCAGAAGAATTCTTGAAATTCAATCATTAAAGAATGTTCATTCTTTTGGTACATTTCCTTCAGGATTAAAATATAATGTATTTGTCTTAATGGAGAGTAGTGGCCTACATCTAGGATTTACTGTTCCAAGTCTTAGTATTCAATCAATAAACGGCCATGCATTTCATGACCATAACTTGAAAAAAGAAGAAATGATTGTCATTCCAGGATGCAAGCTTCAATAGAGTAGGAAAATATCTTACTGCAACAGAATCTTCGCAGCCTCTTGACACTCCGCAACTCGCCGATTATATCCGGGATTTGTTGTCAATGCCTGCTTAAGACCTGAAAAGGCCAGCAATATCTTGTATGCATTACCGAACTCTCCTTCATGATTATTTTCCACTGTTGGCGGGTGTATCAGTTTGTGTTTTATGGTCTGCACATGTGGTCTATAATTGTCAGAGTTTTCCAGAGAACACAAAATCTGTATCAGAAGAAAACAACAAAAGATGCCATAATTTAAAACTGAAACTGTAACAAGAGAAAAGTTGGAGCAAATGACATAAATGAAAAGGCAAACCAACTCATCATGCAGTTTTGAATACTAAAAATTATTTCTACTTCTATTTTACTCCTTCCTTTCTTGCACATAGTCATGCTTGCTTAAAGTTCCTATGTTCAATTATTTCAGGATTGACATCTAAACTCTCTTCATACATCTCAAGAGCATCGCTAGTTAAATGAGAAGAGACGGTATCACTTTTTTAGCTGATGCTAAGGGAGAACAAAAAAAATTCAAGGGCAGGAAGAGCTTTCTCACAACTTCTCAAAACTCAATTAACATAAAAGATTATTTGCTAAGTCAACCATTTATTGTGTGGATTAAAACGCATCACCTTGCAGTTCATGAAGGTCAAACAGCCATAGCTGGATAACAGTATTGCAGACTGATCCAGTATCCCATTTTTCAGACCTAAATATTCATTCTCAATCAGCCTGCATGCAACAAAAGTAACAAGAGATTCATACCAAAATAATGTCACAAATTAAATAGCAAAGGAGGCACTAGGTATCTTAAATGAGTTTGCTAGCAACAAAGACGAGACCACTGTACAAGTAGCATACCTATCATATTCAATATTTTCTGTTGGGCTCACTACAAGACCATTTGCACTCTCAAAAGCCAACAAATATGCAACACCAACCTGTTAAACATGACATTGTTAAATGAAAGTCCAGAAGACAAAAGAAAAGTTATACTGAATAGGATATCTCAGTCACTGTAAGGAACAGATACTTCTATAAGAGAAGAACAAAGATGCAAACCAAATCTCCTAAAAGGAAAAAGTGAACAGCGATATATTTATTTTCTCAAGGATGCAACAGCAAATAGAAAAAAGTCCACTATAAGGCCTTACAGGGTTGGGAAAACTAACTTCACCAGATCACACGAACTTCTCTAAAATTAAAAAATAGGAACTACATTTCTTGATAGTCTAACTAATGCAAATTCAAAGGCAGTGATGGAAAAAACAACTTACCGCGGCAGAAGAGCTGAGACCTGAACTGTCAAGACCCTCAGAACCACAGATAAACCCAGTGATACCCTGCGAGAAAAAGTTTCCAGCAAGAATTGTATAAATGAAAGATATGATGCACACAAAGGTTAAAATTGTTAAATAGAAGTACTGTGCTAAATAATACAGATCAAGGTGACTGCTAATAAAATAGTGCATATAATGAAACAGTACTTTTGACAGAAGAATGTATCCGAGATTAGAACCACAAAATTGAACTTAGAAACCACACATTTTGTATTCAGTGGAAAATAACAATAAACACTACTGGATTTGGCCCAAGAAAAGAAGGATGAAAGAAGTCATCCATGTTAAGAAAATGAATCTTTGGGTCCAACTCAATCTTAAAAACTTAGCTCATGAGGTGAGGATTGCACAAGCCCAAATAAGGAGACAATAACCAATTCCCTCAACCAATGTGACAGACATAACACTGGACTAAACATCCGGAGTGTGGAGAACATAAAATGGGCCCAACATTAAACCAAGAATAGGGCTAGTTTTATCTCTAGTACAAGGTAAAGAAAACTTACTTAGGCCTAACTCAATTGCAAAACTTACTCAGGAAGTGAGGATTTTCCAAGATCAAATGAGAAAACAACCCATTCACTCAATCAATATGGGATACTTAACACCCTATCCCGTGCCACACTAAGGACTAGACATCTCAAATGTGAACAACATCACAAAGGGATGGGCCTAACATTAGGTACACTAAGAATAAAGAATTGGTCACAATAAATTTTTGGTCCTAACTCAGCCTAAAAAAGTTAGCTCATAAGTTGAGAATTGTCCATGTTTAAGTCTTAAAAGTCCTTTCCAAAATAGGTGGGGTCCTCTTCTTAACCACTTAGAAGCTATGTGACTGTTTTATGTCCTTGTTATTATCATATTTTTTTTGCTGGATGTGCATCCTTCTTTCAAACTTCGTTTCCATTTACACTTCGACTTCCACTTGTTTTCTCCTATTTCCAAAACTCTTTCAGTGCGTGCAAATATGGTAATATTTCCATTTTGATTTCTTGTTCCTTGATCCATGTGATTAGCCGTAATCCAAATTCCTCAAAGAATCCTTCATGTACTTGGAATTTGCTTTGCGGCTGATCAACACTCTTCTCCAGTATACTGTGAAGGACCTGATTCGTTCGATTCTTGTAGTGTGCTCCTGTAATCAGCTCTTGCAGTAGTCATGTCATAAACACTACTAGTCCCTATCTGAGACATGTTTAGTGTCTAGTTCATTGATCACGTTTCTTATGTTTTCTTATCATCGAAACTTCATATGTAGCACATCTCATAGCTTTATCATTTTCTTACTGAAAATCTTTAGCTTATCTTTGTGAAAACCAAATGGGAACAAGCAGAAGCATCATCTTCCAGTAACCAGTACTCAAACAATTTGCAGATGCATGGTGACTAATATATATTTTCAAATAATAATGAATGGGTTCCCTGTCGGACAGCATTAAGCAGAACAAAGCAAGAATATACAAACTTGTTTTTAGTTTTAAGTCTTTTTTACAAGAGAACTTCCTTTTTACACATAAGAGATCAGGAAAGGTCATTTTCTTCTATTCAATTTGTAAGTGGTCATAATAGATCATTCCACCAGAACAAAATTGTAGAAACAATCATTTCAGTACATACGAGATATAAGAAGTGAAAGTTGGATGGTGCATAGAAGGACTAAATCTATATTAACGAGCTAGAAGTCCACCTATGGAATGAATAACGGAATGTAAGATTTTAGAGT